CTTCCCCACCTGATGCGCAAAATGTTTATATAGCTATACAAGACTATTTTTGGTTTGCCCACTTCTCTTGCAACATTCTACATGACATTCCGACTAATGCAACTTCCCGGAGCAATCATTTCCACGTATTGTGATTACAAACTATTATTTCAGGTTAAATACCCAATTTGGTCCCTTAACTTTCATTTTTAAACCAAATTTACCCTTGAACTTTAAAAAGTAATAAAATTATCTCTAAACTTCAATTTTTGGGACCAATTTAGTCCTTTCGTTGACGGAAGTGCCAAATGGCATTTTAAGTTGCCATGGAATTAATTCTTGTTTTAAATCTTTAATGACATGGAGAATAACTTACTTACCGTGGCATTTTTGTTATTCATGTTAGATTCCCACTAGTTTCACCCTTCCCTTTAAGTGGGGTCCACCTAAAATATTTCTATATTTTCTAGGGTTTTGGTCTGCAAAGATGAAGCTTTCTTCCTTTCTCTTTCTCTTTCCTTGTTTGATTTCAAACCCTAAAACCTACAAAGTTTGCAATTTGCTTCAAGCATAAATCTCCATCAAATCTCTTCAATTTAGTTTAGAAAGCTAGGCTCACATGGACCATTATACTAGGCAAAAGAACCCCAAAGAACCAAATGTTGTACCTCAAGAAGTTATAGATTTGGAGTCTATGGATATCGAGGATACGATATGTTTTGTTTCTTGATTCTCAATTGTCTTACAATGTCTTCGTTGTTTGGCTTTATCATGTTAGAATATTTTGGAACAAGGGTTGGGTTGGTCGGGTATATGAGTAACATTTGTTTCTGGTCTTAAGGTCCAAAATGATGCTAAGGTCCAAACTAATGGCTGCAAAGTGGCTGAGGAAGCTCAAGAAGAAGGTGGCCTTGAAGACGTCCCTGGGTTGTCTGATAATGATGATGATGAGACTGTTCTAGCAAGGGATAATCTAAGGAATTTTAGAGCAAATCAAATTGGGGTTGCTTCTAGTTCTACAAGAGCAAGTATTATATTTAGTTAGTAAATTATATTATTCATTTAGAGTTAATTTGCTTTATTTATATTTGTTGTTAATTTCACATTGTAGGTAATGTAGATGTAGGGGTCCAAGATGAGGATGATGGAGAAACACAATTTGATGATGAAGTGAGTTACATATCCACAAGTAATGAAGAGGATGAAGAAGTAGACCATGGTAGGAGGAGGAAAGCTAGACACAAAGTGTATAAAGAAGTTGAAGGCATTCCAAAAATTGAGCTTGGCATGATATTTCTGAATGAGAAACAATTTTAAAAAGTTGTGGATCAATTGAGCATTAGACAAGAGAAAGAGATTGCGTGGAAAAAAAAATGATAGTAAAAGGATAAGGGCAGTATGCAATGATCAGAATTGTAAGTGGAGGATACTATTGGCATTGGCATTTGACAATCCTACTGAGTCTTGGATGGTAAAAACCTTCAGTCCTGATCACACATGTATAGTGAATGTTACCAACAAGCTTTGCACATCATCTATTGTTGTCCAACATTTGGTAAAGACAAAAGGAGCATCTACTCTACATTTTAATAAAGAAGATATTTTTACTAAAATTAAGAATTATTTAGGTGTGGAATTAACACCTGTGCAATGTAAGAAGACTAAGATGAAGTTAAAAAAGACCTTTGATTGCTTTGCTGAGGCTGAATACAAAGTCTTATTTGACTATGCAAATAAATTAAGGTCAAAAGATCTAGAAGTAAATATTGCGCTTTAATGTCCTAGACCAACAGCAGATATGAATCCTATTTTCTTGAGAATGTACGTCTGTTTTAGTGCATTAAAAAAAGGATTCTTATATGGATGTAGACATATAATAGGAGTTGACAGTGCATTCCTTAAAAGTGCACATAAAACCGCTATTGGAAGAGATGCAAATGATCAAATATATCCCATTGCATAGGCTATTGTGGAGGTTGAGACAAGGGAGACATGGGAATGGTTTCTTGAAGAAT